AACGAGGGCACTGTGTCTCCCTACTTCCTATTTATGTCTTCCTCGACTCAGACAAGCCAAGGAACCCTCTGAGCCTTAGTTTCTTCGTCTACAAAATGGGCTCCCCACAACCGGTCAGAGGGATAGGTGGCAATGAAGCCCGCGGGCTCTGAGCGTAGCACCTGGCCCGGAGGAGGAGCCAGGCAGGCTCCTGCTCTTTGCAGCCAGGACCAAAGATCCAGACAGAGAGCAATGAGGAGCAAGGCTGCTGAGACAGGAGGTTGGCATCTTGAAGAGAGATATCTCTGCTTTTACCTGCAGCTGGAAACTCCTGAGAGGCATACAGACCAGGGGCAGCCACTAATCCACCCAACCCAGGCCTTGAACACCAACCAAAGGGAGCAGGCTGGGATGTCATCTCAGATGCTCCCTCCCCAAGTGGGTTCTCCTTCCACGTAGAAACAACCTCCTTGTCCTGCAGCCTCAAATTCCAAACCCCAAACCTTCAGAAGGGATGGAGGAAGGAAGGCGGAGCAGCAATTCATCCCAGCTTCGTCCCCTGATATTCATCTGTGCTCCCTTCCAGCTCCCTGGCCATCCCAGTGCTACTTGGTTCAATTCCACAAACATCTGGTGAACACCCCCTAGGTGCCTGCTGTTGGAGGCCACAGAGATGATCAGGGACCAGGGCTCCTGATCTTGCAGGGCAGACGTGCCCCACAAGTAACTGTGCACCCTCCCCAAACAGCGAAGGGTTCAGCGATGGGCTGGAAAAGCTTCATAGGGGAGGTGGTGTCTGAGTGGGCCTGGCAGCACTGCAGACTCCAGGATCAAGAAGACCAGAGTTTAAGTACATCTCTGGCTGGTCCTGAGCAAATTATGTCACCTCTCTGAGCCTTAGTTTCCTCAACTGTAAAATGATGATCACTGTGCCTAGCTCATGGGGTTGGGGTGGGCCTTAAATGAGAAAGCCCATGTAAGAGGTTCAGTGGAGGCTAAGTGGCTTGAGGGGAGGGTGGAGACAAAGGAGGAAGATGAGAAGGACGACAATAATGATCGTTTCAACTCTCCCCCACCTTATCTTTGTATTCTCCTGCCAGCTAGAGTCTGAACCTCTCAATTCAGTCTTTTGTTTATGCTCTTTGACCCGCCTCTGGGTATCACAGGACTACAGAATGAGTGTGATACTGAACAGTCCCCACTAACGCATACAGACTTGATGTACAAAGTGCTCTGCCTGACACCATCACATGGAAGCCTCACGACAGCTGTGTGAGGTCAGGAGGGAGGGCATTCTCAGTATCCTCACTTTACAGATAAGCAAACTGGGGCTCAGAGAGGGTGAGAGACATCCCTCAGGTCACACAGACAAAAAGTGGTAGCATTAAGACTGCCTTGTGGCCCCTTTTTACTGCACCTCCCAAGAAGGGAGACAGAGGAGTCCACGGCTTGCGGGGAGCACACTTTTCTTTAAGACCATGGTCCTGGCAGGGGAACGGGTGCCCTACCTGTCAGCAGAGACAGGGAGCCCCGCCCTTTCCTCGGGGTGAAACCAGGCCCTCCCTGCGGAACCAAGCCACCAGTGGGAGCCGTGCTCAGCGGGGGTTTGGGACAGTGGGAGTCTGACACTTTGATGGGATGCACACTGGGACACACCTAAGGCAAGAGCAGCAGAGTGAGGCTGGAGGGGTGTGCTAGGGAGTGAGGAGTGTGCGTCCTGCCAACACCAGAGACCTGGTTTCATCTGCGCTACCACACCTGGGAGGACGGATCCAACTGCAGAAAGGAGGCTGCAAAAGCAGGTGTGGTCACTGTCTAGCAAATATTCATGAGACCCAGTCCTCGCTGTACTCTTGGCTCCCCCACCCTCTAAAAGCTGAGTTATCCCGGTCCGTCCTCTCAAGATTTTTCTGGTGATTAATCCTATTTAGAAATGAGGAAACTGAGACTCCAAGGGGTTATGACAGTCGTCCAAGGTCCCACAGCTGGAGTAGTACTCTATCCAAAGCTCATGTTCCCTTCATTCTCTGGGACTGTGAGGGTGAGTTTTATGTGTCAACTGGACGGGGCCACAGGTGCCCAAACATTGGGCTAAATGTTATTCTGGGTGTGTCTGTGAGGGTGTTTCTGCATGAGATTAACAATGGAATCAGTGGACTGAGTAAAGCAGATGCCCTCCCTAATGTAGGTGGGCCTCAACTAATCAGCTGAAGAGCTGAAGAGAACAAAAAGGCAGGAGAGAGGGAACTCCTCCCACCTGACTGTTGAGCTGGGACATGGGTCTTTTCCAGCCTTCAGACTCAGACTGAAACATCAGCTCTTCTTGGGTATCGAGCCTCCTGGCTTTCAGACCGGAACTCACACCACTGGCTCTGCTGGTCTTAGGCCTTCAGACGCAGACTGGAACTAGACCATCAGTTCTCCCAGGCCTCCAGCTGGCTGACTGCAGATCTCAGGGCTTCTCAATCTCCATAATGATGGGAGCCAATTCTTTATAATAAATCAATCCCACCCCCGCCCTGTATCCTATTGGTTCTATTTCTCTGAACAACTCTGTCTAACACAAAGACCAAACTTTAGGCTTCCAGGAACAAGTTGGCTGCATATTTGGGTGTGGAATTCCCAGTTGCCCAGAGGCCAGATATTTGAATATCTAGAACAATCATCTGATTTGGTCCAAAAGTCCTCTTGGTTCCCAAAGCCTTAACAGGAAGCCTGGCAGGGAGGGGACCTGCCTGGTCATATAAGCAGAGCCAAGTAGCACAAAACTTGGCTTTCTTTTCCTTTTCTTTTCTTTCTTTTTTTTTTTTTCACACCGAAACAGCCCCCAAGTGTTCAGTTAGAGGTGTGTCAACTCTCTCCAGCACCCCAATGTCAACAGCAATACTTGAGGAGTCCACTAGATGGGGCCAGTGACACAGAGGAAAGGGCTGAATTGCAACTCTGGAAGGAAGGTTGGCAGGCAGGAGGTGCACTGGGCTGGAATCTTGGCTAGGATCCTCAAACTGGATTAATGCTCCCCATCCCTACCTTGTATCACTTCTAGCCAGTGATGTAAAAATTAACCCTGGCGTTCCGAAGTACTTTGGTCAGTTGTTATTGCAGCATCTCTAGATTTCAAAGTCCTTAAACCAAGTGATTCCCTTGTGAGTCACCAAGCAAAATGAGCAGCCATGTAGTGAAGGAAGTCCCTGCCCTGAAGCCTCAGAGCTCTGGGTGGGGCATCTCCCCATTATGCCTTGACCTGTTTCACTAGAGAAATCACCTGAAGTACCTTTCGCCAGGGAATCTAAAAGTCAATGGTTCGTACTCCAACAAGGTGGCCATGTGACGAGGGAAGGAGATGGGACAAGAAGCAAGGAGGAAGGCAGGGAAGGGGAAAGGAAATGGCTTTTCTCTTCAGCAAGCGACTCTAATTTGGCCACAGGGTCTCAATTCTCTGCTGGCATTCCTGGTACTGTACTGAGTCCTGCAGCAAATCTTTCTGCACTGGCTCACAGTGGGGTTAGCTGAGTCTCCAGGGGTGGGTGGCTCTAAGCCCTATTGTGGTCAGAGACCTAAGGGTGAGACAGGATGCAAGAGTTTTCACCTTGCTTCCCCTGAGTGGCCTCAGTTCAGGTTCCAGAGTACCCTCCCCTCCATCAGTAGCAAAAGTCCTGCCCTTACATGTCCAAGGTGGCTGTCTCTCATCTGCCCCCCTTCCTTAGGATGACAGGATAACACCCCAGGATGCCAACTGTTGGGGGCCTGAACCCAACCAATACCCTTGTCCATCACCTCCACCTTCCACCTGCCCCCCACCAACCTCTCCCAGACTTGCACTGCGTGGCAGCTGATAAGCTCTGCCTAGGCCTCTGTTGCCACAGCAACAATGTGGCTTCCCCCAAGTGGGAAGCTGTTGCCAAGGCCCTTGTTGCCAAAGGCTGTAACAGCCACCCCGGTGCGTGAAGAGGGGGTGAGAGCTGTGCGCACGGGTGGAGGGTGGCCAAGGAGGCTGGGAGGGAAGGAAGCAGGGGGTTCTCAAGAAACGGTAGAGTCCAGGCAGTGCCGGACTGGAGTGGGGGTTGCTGGGCTCTGCAGGAGGGAAACAAGTATCTCACAGCATCTCAGTGACTGCTTCTTGGGGATATTAGAGGGAAGAAAGCGGAGCCCCTTACACAAAACACACTTGGACAAGCCCCCTACCAAGCAGGGCCAAGCACTCCAAGCCCCCATCAAAGTGAAGAAATGGCTATGACTCTCCCCAGTTTCGGAAAAACAGCCTCAGGAATCCCTCTGTCTCACTTGCTCCTGTGTCTCAGACACACGCACACAAGAGCTGGTCCCGGTGGCCAGGAACAGCATTAATTACAAGGATTGCAAACCTCCACACATCGCTATCCCCTGGCCTGTCTCAGCACATCTTCACATCCTCAATATTCTTTGTAAAATGTTTCTCTTTGGAGCAGAGCTCTTGTCAGTCGACAAGAGGAGAGGTGGACAGCATTAGGGATCAGTTCCTTCCGGAGTCAACAGAGGAGGGCTGTATGGGGCCCTTTGTCTTCAGGGAGTGCCACAGAAGCAGCGCACTCTCCCCACAGCCTGTGCCCAGGCCAGCCTTGGTTTGCTGAGCTGGCACCTGTGCATTCACGGCCCACAGATCTCATATGCAGCCACTGCCCAGCCGGGGCCCAGAGAAGAGAGCCTGTTCCCTCCTCAAGGGCCCATCTTGCTAGAGAGGAGCTGAAAGAGGAGATGAGGTATCCAGGAGGCAGGAGGAGCAGGTGGCTGGTGGAGGAGGCAGAGACAGGTGTGTGTCGGGGGTGGTGGGCAGAGTACAGCAGGAGGTGGGGGAAGGGAGCCTGAGACCCAGGACCCGAAAGAGATGCCGAGGGCACCAAGAACAGCCGGGCCCAAATCTCCCGAGTCCCGTACCCCAGCAGCACCCCGAGCAGAGCCTGGCCCAGGACACCCAGGCCTGCCTATCCCCTCCCCGAAATCTCCTTCTTCCCAAACCTGGAAGGAAAAGCAGGTGTACCTACCCCAGGTGCCAGCCCCTCGGGTGGGGTGGGGGAGATGCTGTCCCCGCCGCCCTGGCTCCGGGCACTGAGCTGGGGTGACATGGTGGGTGACTCGTCGATGTATGGCATGGTCTCCGAGCCCTCTGGGGGCCCCTTCTGCTCCTCATTCCCCTCTCCGTCGTAGTCGTCGGCCCCGTAGCTGAAGTCTGAGACAAGGAACAAGAAAGGCCACTGAGAGTCCTCCACGAGGGCTGCCAGGGACTGGTAGCGCAGTGGGCGCCGGCGGCGGCCCCCGGCTGCCATGCCCCCGGCCGCACCATCCACGCCCGGCCCGGGCAGGGGCTTCGGGGCCCGGGAGGCCAGCAGGCACCGGGTGCTGCGGTTCAGGGGCTGCTGGGAGTCGAGGGGGAGCGGCTCTGCTGTTGCCACCTGCTTAATAGCATGTCAGTCGTGTATTTCGAGCTGCTGTTTCCTTTGCCTCCTGCCTAATTCCAAGTCTAAAAATTAACAGTGGGAGCAGCACGCTTCCAACTCGCCTCTCTGAGTCACCATTTTGCTTTTTATAGGGAATAAGGAGGTGGGGGCGGGCCAAGCGATGTCACTTCCTGAGCCCCTCCTCCTTGGGTACCATTTGTACACTGAGCCCCATTCCTGAGCCGGCAGGCAGACCAGGGTTCGGGGTAGGGGCTGAGCATCGGCTCCTAAGGGAGCACTCACCCCTTTGAATGAGGGCCCTGTGCAGATTGGAGCCCAAGGCTGGCAGAGTGTGGGCGAGAGGGCGGCCTGGGCCTGGCAGGGACATGGTTGAACAGCATACTCCTCAGAAGCCAGTACTTCTTTCTGTAATTTCAATATAGGCTTCCTTCGGAGAAGGAGGGAAGGAAAGGCCGCAGGGAAGTGGAACTGCCGTTAACCCCGTCAGTGCTGCCAGCACCACTCAGGGTCCAGAGCCTACGCACAGACATCCTCTCCAGGGACAGCAGGCTGGGTCCATGGGGGGCGCAGGGCAGTGCGTCAGAAAGGCCCCTGGTCAAACCCCACCGGTGGGAGTCTCTCCTGCTGGAGTGTGAGGGGCCCTGCCCCTACCCCAGGCTGGGCCTGGCTCAATGTCTGCCCAGATATCACTTCCGCCAGGATGTCCTCCCTGGCGTCCCAGCTCAGAACTCCTACAGTGCGCAGCCTTCTAGTGCCCCTGCTGATCCTGCCCATTCATCCCGGAGCCCCTGGGGTGGGATCTGGGTGTCAGCCATCACTGGGTGCCCCGCTGCCATGGGCTGACGTGCGGCAGGATCTCGGGATGCATGTGGAGTGACTGCATGGACAGAGGAATGCTCTGTCCCTCTTAGGTCTGAGGCTTGAGCCAAGTTCTCGGCGAGGGCCCTCCTCCTCCTCTGTCACAACACAGCAGCCCCCAGGGCAGCTGACAGCCTGAGAATGGTGTCAACGGGTCACCAGGGCGCCAGGCCACAGCCACACTCAGTCCAATCTGGCCCTTTGGCAGCCGAGAGCTTCCCCTAGCCTCGCTGCACCTGTTCCTGCCGGCTTCCTCTCCAGTCGCTGTGCTGACGGCCCATTAAGCTGTCAGGGGACATGAGCTATTATTTTTCTCCTGGGACAGGCATCACATGAAGAACCACAGTACCTAGTGATGCAGCCACTGGGATGTGTGCATGCCATGCATCCAGGAAATACGGCCCACTGCCTGGGGGACGCAGGGCCTCTGTCTCAGGCAGGCGGAGGCGGGGGTGAGCTGACTCTGCTATTTCCAGGGGGTGCGAAGGAGGAAGAGGAGCCACAGTGTCCAGTCTGCCCGAGTCTGGCACTGTGAGGGGGTCCGGCTGTTTGGTGAGACCTACGTACTTTGGAGAAGCACAAAGAGAGGATGAAATATCACAGCAACCTGCCGTCTCTCCTCCAGGAGGCTCCAGGCTGCCCTATTCGTGTCTGGTGTCAAGGCCGGGGGTGTGAGCCATGGTGAACCCTGCTGGCCTGGCCAATAGTTCAGATTCCAGCAGGCCACACCGACTCCCCTGTACACTGACCAATTCCCGGGGATCACAGGACTAGATCCCTCATTCTCAAGACACTTCCCAAAGGCGAGGGTATAAGGGACAACAGGGAAGGTGGTGTGGCTAGCCTCTACCACACAGTCTGGAGCTGCACGGGACACGGCAGGGCGGCAAGGTCTCTGCCAGCCTTTCCCCTCATGTGCACAAGTCATCCTTTCAGTGTGGTAGCAGTGGCCATGGTCCCACATCTCAACCTAGCCATATCGGTGAGGCTGTTCTTACTATCCTCAGTTTACAGACAGTCATTGAGTCTTAGATTTGCACAGAAAGGATCTGAACCCAGGTCTGTCTCCAAATGCCATCTCTTTCCCTCTGAATCTCACTAACCCTCTAGAGAAATCTCCTTCTATGGCCTTCCTTGTCAGCAGAGGCTGAGCAAAGAGGGGAGGGAGGGGAGCCAGCCCCAGCAGTGGGGAGGCCCAGGAGTGAAGGAAAGTGCCCACAGGGCTCTCTGCAAATGTTCCGGACACCTCCTCTTTCATTCCACCCTCCAGTTGAAACTGTCAGCCTGGGAAGCCAGTCAGAGACCCTGAAGACACCTACCAGGAAAAGGGATACAGAAAAGACAGAGACCCACCCCCCGAGAAGGAAGGAACCCTGGGGCTTCGGGATGATGGGAATCTGCCAAGCACAGCCTCCAGCTTGTGTAGGTCCACAGACAGGAAGGCTGAGTGGACCATGGTTTGGCCACCAGGTGTCAAAACGGAGAAGGCAGAGGAGGCTGCTGACAGCCAATCTCCATTTCCCCTGCAAGTAACTGAAATCTCCTATTTGGAGTGGCTGTGTGCTCAGTGGCTAGCTGAAAGGCTACTTTTCCTAATGGTGTGGGCCATGTGACTAAGTTCTGGCCAATGAGATATTGAGTGGTATGTGTGGAACTTTGAGGAAAGCTGTTGAAATAGGTTGTTTTAGCTGAAAGGTATTTTTTCACCCTTCTCCATGCTTCCTCCTTCTATTGCCAGTCCGGACAGCAGATAGGATGGCTGGAGCTCCAGCAGCCATCCTCAACCATGAGATGACAGAAGGACAGAAGCCAATGTTGAATATGGCTGAGCACAAAGCTAGGAGCCTGGGCCAGTGATGGCACAATTAGCCAACATACCATCCCAGAACTACCTACCTCTGGACTTTTACATGAGAGGAAAAAAAATGCCTGTGCTATTTAAGTCACTGTTATTTAGTTTTTACGTTATATGCAGTCAAACCTAATTATAGCTGATCCAGATGGTTTTCCTTGACATTCTATCTCAGTGCTTTTCCTACTGCCTTTACTGTTCCTTTTAGTCTTCTTGGTGGAACCCTCTTTCTCTGCTCACCCCTTAAAACAGTATTCCTTATACATCCTTACAGTAGAAAACTGCTCGGCAATAAAAGGGACAACTACTGAGACACACACAGAAATGACTCTTGTTAACATTATGCTAACTGAAAGAAGCCAGACACAAAAGAACACATCCTATATGGCTCCACTTGTATGAAGTTCTAAAACAGACAAAACTATGTTTGAAAAAAAAAGAAAATAGTGTTTGATTCTGGGGTAGTGGGGCCAAGAGTTGACTGTAAGGGGCATAGGAATCTTCCGGGGTGATGGAAATGCTCTGTATCTTGATAGGGCTTTGGAGTACACAGGTGAATGCATTCACTTAAGATTTGTGCATTTCACTAAATATTGAACTTGAGTTAATGAAATGCATGTTTAAGTGTCGAAGTGAAGTGTACTGATGTCTGCAACTTACTCTGAAATACATAAAAAACAAAATGGATTGATGAAGTTTGGAGGGATAGATAGATGTGTGATAAAACAAGTGGAGAAAAATGTTAATTACAGACTCTAGATGGTGGGTACATGGTGTTCATTGTATAATTTTTTGTATATTTGAGATTTTTCATAACAAAATTATGGGAAAAATTGGTGTTCTCCAGGCTCCTGTCACCCTTACTTTATTCCCTCTCCCAAATTTTATTTATACTGCAGGGAGAGGTCTGGGCTGCAGATTCATCTCTTTGATGGTTTCCAGGACATCTCCACCCTCAGGAACTTCAAACCCAACCTTTTCCTGAAGTTAATCTGCCAGATCACTCAAATTGGAAAACTAGGAGTCATTCCAGATTCCTCCCCCTTCCTATTCATCTTCTGCACCCTGAAATATCCCCACTCCTCATCTTCCATTCCACTCTCCTCAACTCTTACAAGGACAATTCCAACACTCTCTCCCCGTGACTGCCAGACTTCAAATCTGATTGTGTTTCTCCCCTGTTCAAAATTCAACAGTTCTCCTTTCACTTCAAGGGTACAGCCCAAACTCCTCAGCTCAAGGTCTTTTATGGTCAGCACCTGCTCTACTTTTATAGAGTCATATTTTGCTGCCCTGTAATATCAGACATGTCTTAGGTTCCTGCAGGGGTTTGAATAGTAGCCCCCAGATATATATGTCCAGTTCCTAACCTTGGTACCCATAAATGTGATTTTCTTTAGGAAAAAGGGTCTTTGTAGATGTAATTAAATTAAGGACCTGTAGATGAGATTATCCTGGATTAACTGAGTGAACTTGTATCTGATGAACTGTTCTTACAGGACACAGAAGGAGAAAAGACACAGACACACAGAAGGCCCTGTGAATGTGGAGGCAGAGATTGGAGTTATGTGGCCAAAAGTCAAGGAATGCCTGGAGCCACTAGAAGTTGTAGGAGGCCAGCAAGGATTCTCCCCCTAGTGCCTTGGCAGGGAGCATGGCCCTGCCAACAACTTGATTTTGGACTCTGGCCTCCGGATTGTTAGAACATAAATTTGTTTTTAAGACACCAAGTTTGCAGTAATTTTTTTAAGGGCAGCCTATGAAATTAATAATCTCCAAACACAACACTGCTTCCTGCCTCTGGACCTTTACACATGCTGTTCCTATGCCTACAACATCCTCCTCACCCCTTGTCCCCCACAGTGAAATCCTATTCAGCTTTCAAATCCAGCTCAGTTCCACCTTTCTCCTAGGAACATCCTTGCCTTCAGAATATATAAAGCACTTCTGCAATCCAATGACAAAAAGATGAATCCCTCAACTTTCTAAATACTGAGAGAAATGAACAAAAGAGAACTACAAATGCCCAGTGTGTGTGTGTGTGTGTGTATTTTATATACATATAATATGTATAT